CCCCCCCCCCCCACCCCCAAGTTTAGTGATCATACTGTGCTTTCATTTGCTCATTGTAATTGTCCAGACAAACAGACAGTGAAGTGGTGGCTAAGCATATGGTACTTCCATTATGGAGCTAGACTCTGCCTTTTTGCAAGTTTTACTGATTTTTTTCCTGTCTCTTTTCTTGGCAGGTGACATCACACAGAAGGGATATGAAAAGAAAAGATCAAAATTAATTGGGGCCTACCTGCCACAACCTCCAGGTATGTATATCTGTTCTAGCAGTGGATGAAGCTGTCAGGTGTACTGATAGTTGCCAGAGCAGAAACCTGTAGCTTGAAGGAAATATTTTGTACACTTAAGTATAAGCTTGCATCACTCATTTTATATATACGTATATATATCAGCTTTACTGTGTGTGTAGATTTAACATACACATATGGGATGTCCAGATATGGCCAGAAAATAAAACCAGCCCATGTTTCTTTGAGAGCCATTATTTAATATGTGTCATGAAAAATGGGATGGTATACCACTGCCCTAGCCCTGGCAGACTTAAGCCAAACAAATTTATCCAAAGAGACGTACACACAAGAGTATGGAAAAGGACCTAGGCTTTTCTCAGTCTGCCTAGCTGCAATAGGACTTGCTCCATTTCAGACCCCCCAGCCCAAATCTATCATGCCCGCTTTTCGGCTCCCTTTTGAATAAGACTAGGAAGAAACATGGCTCCCCAAAGTAATGGCAAGCAGCTATGATACTTTTATAGACAACTGGGTTAGCCGTTTCCTTATTTCCCTAGGAACAAGTTGAATACACTCTGTTGCTGTAGACACGGGCTGAATTCAATACTTGTTGGCTTGCTCTTTCATTTCAAGTATTTCATACATCAATTGCTTATCAAATAAGAAAAGAGATGCTTCTCTATATATTGCTTCTCCAGTGCTGCATTGATATATATATTTTTAATGTAAGTTCACTGAATCATGAAGTCAAATGTGCATTTGTGTGATCAGTATAAGCCTTAGTCCTATAACTGTTCATGCAGATGGGCCTCCCACTTGTGAGAAGTCTCATTCACTTTGCTAGAGCTCCAGTCAGGCTCGAGCATCCACCTGCATTGTTTTGGTTACAGGACTGGGGCTGTGGCTCATTTTTTTTACTATAAACATTTCTTGCCTTTAAATTCTAGTTTATAGTTTACTGTTTATTCTGCTCTCCAAGTGGATACTGCCTTGTTCCAGCGTCCTTAGGTGTGTTAGCCTTTGTTCTGGTGTTATGTTGTGTTTTGTGCTTTTGGGTTTATTGGTTCTGCTCCTGACATTCAGGCGATTTCCAGAAAACAGGTTGGCATTGTAGACTGACCTGTTGCCATCCCAGCTCTTCAGAAAGGTACAGAATGATTTGATGGTGACCTTCACAGTTGCTAGCTACTTGGAACAACTATGAAACAAGACAGGTCAGACAAAAGTGTAATCCCACAGAAACCATCATCAAACCTCTGCGTATTTAGTATTCTAGCTAAATGGCAGAAGCTTATGCAGCACTCTTCGCAAGGAGCAGCTCACTGAAGCTGGCCTGCTCTTATATTGAAAGAACACTTATCTCACACTGATACTACCACCGCAAACTAATTGGAGTATTCATATTTTTTTTTCACTGAACAGTCTGGCATTTCCCATTGCCTCCAGACAGAGAACGTGGTTCATTCTCCAAAGAGAATGCCTCGGAGCCCAACTCTACTGGTGACCCCCATGTAGTGAGGGAAGAGATAGATGGGAAAGAGTTTCACCTTAGAGATTAATCAAGCAGAGCTTTCTCTAGGCACTGACATCTGGGGTCTAAAGTGTGGTGTCTTGTAGAGACCCTCAGAGATGATCATCACCTAGTTCTGCGTCCGACAGCAGAAACCTTGGCATTTATCCACTGCTTTTGGAAGAGCAGGCTTCCTAGCTCCTCCTGTCAATCCAGAGAGTAATGACTGGAGAAAGGCGTAGAACAGTATCATAGAAATTACCTTTAATTTGCACCCATCCAACTATATCCATCAGTCCAAAAGTAGGAGATCTGCCCCAGCATGTTAGCATTAGAATGCATTACTGTATTGCAGGACATTACAGCTGTTACTGTTAACTACTGAAACTGAAATTATTTGTGCTTTGGGTCTTTGCTGTCTGTAGCTTTTTGTTTGTTTTGCCTCTGTTCCTTTTTTAGACAAAATTTGATGATGGTGTATTGTGGTATTTTCCCTCTACATCTTTCCTCATCTGAATGGGTGAAGGTCCCTGCTTCTGAGCTGGAGACACAAATCTTTTCCTAGTGGAAGTCACTGAAGCTGCCTTTCGTAGGCTCTTGTGAAGACCCCTTGAATCAGAGGACCAAATTAGTCACTTCCTTGTTTACTGTAATTTGTTTTCATGGGGAACTGCAAACACTTATCACTTTCAATATTAGATTTCACTTTCAAAAGTGGAGGGATGTGTCAGAAATATTAATGATCAAGGCACTGAAACCCACACAGCTTTTCTGGTGGGGTATAAGGGCATGGGGAAGGGTTGGGACTTGACATTCACCAAACTGAAGGTAAACCAACTGGCAGTTCCCCACTGTTCCAGCATCTAGTCCTCTTGCTGCTGCTTTGCTAACATTACTAACACCAATGTTGGCAGAGCGGACGATTGGCCATGTGGTTCTGTGAGTGTTCTGTAGTGTCTGTGTGTATGTGCGTGTGCTGTACTGCATGGGGGCAGCAGCTCCATTCGTTGCTGTAACAAATGTAAAAAAACTAAACCTGAATTAATTAGTTTTTTTCAACTTGTTACAGCAGCGAATGGAGCTGCCGCGGTACGGTGTAGACTGCAACACAGTGAAGGGGCTGCCAGAAGAATGCTCCGCACTGCCAACATTGGGGTCTGTGACATCCGAGAAGCAGCAGCTAGAGAACGAGCAGCCAGCACAGCGGGAAACCGGCCTCTCTTTTATTTTCGTTTTGGTGAGCACAATACCTGTATATTTTGGAGTGCATGTTTGTGAGTGACCTCTGTCAGAAGGAGGCATTCATGGCAGGCTTCTAATGAAGAGGCAGTGTGGCCCAAGGCCACATGGAAGTTGTTATCAACCCAGGTCCAAGTAAAAACATGGTGGAAAACATGGTATGTCCCCAGGCGGATGCTGCAGAAGGAGGTTCATGCAATTAAAATGGTGAAAGCACAGGAGACTGGTTCTGGCTCCACCAGTAACTTGGATGTGCCACTTGAGCCAACCCCTGCTGGAGTCTGGATAGTGCTACAGCTGTGTAAGAGGTCCATGGCCTGGATATGATCAGAATTCATCCTTTCCCTGCTGCTTGACATAGATGACAAGCTAACAATAAGATAACACAGTCCAGCCGTGTCTAGGAATTCCCATCTGGGCTTTGTAGTCCAATTTGCTGTACTGAAGCTTGCTTCTGTTCTCTTCACACCCTCTGTCCTGGGTATGATATTGCTTGAAGGTGTAGGAGGAGGATGCTTCTAGGCTGGTTCATTAACCTCTTTGTTCCAGTGTGGTGCTTGTCCATTCCAGACATACAGAGGTGAAAGGAGTATAGCGGACTCTCAGGAGAAGGCTCTGTCTTGTGGCTTCTCCAGAGTCGGCTGTGGAAGTCAACAGCTGCAGTTCCACTGACTGCCCCTGGTATGACCTGATATCCCATAGTCAAGGAAGTCCCACATTATTTAGAAATAAATGATTTAATAAAATAATGCAAAAATTGATAGTAGGTTCAGGACTCTTAGAAATGATTGGCTTCTGCTTATATTGTTGTTCTCCTCGTAGTGGGGCTGTGTAGCTCATTGGTTCTGAGGGTCGGCCTGAGCACCACGACTTTCTGAGCACCACTTCAGGCTCAGACTGGTACTGTCTCTTCCACTGTTTCAGTATCTGTATAATGCAGGTGTTGCTGGGATTAAGAAGTAATGATTTTTGTACCAGAAAAATGCTAAAAAAAAAATACTCAGATGAAAGCAGAAGGATTTCATCCAGACAAGACCCTTGCCACTCTCACTATATCTTGGAAGGTGTTTCTTTTCGGTGGCATGCTGTCATCTGAGAACAGTTGCTGTCACATTTGCTTGGCGGAAAAAAACAGTAATACTGCCTAACTTCTGTTTCCTCCAGCTGTGTTCTCCAGAACATCAATTACAGGTGCAGATGTTCTCTGGACAGAATTGTTATTATTTTAAATGAGCTTTAGCATTTCAAGAGTTTGTACGGGAGGTAGGCATCTAACTTCACTTGTGGATCTGAGCCCTAATCTCTGAGCCCATACCCCTCTGTATTTGACCAGAACTCTTCCCCTTTCCTCTGTACCATTTTTTCTCAGGAAGCAGTTCTGACTGCCAGTAGCTGAATGAATCTCTTAAATAAACATTTGTTTCGGAACAATTTTGTGAAGATTACCTTGATTGGATCAATCAGTCAACTGTATGTACGATAACGTGGACAGCTGGATGCATGCTATTAAGAGGAATCCTCCCTAGAAAGAAAATAACTAAATTACCTGTATCCAGCGTAAGCTATGCTTTTGCACAATTTACTTCCAGTGTTTTGCCAGGAAATACTTTGTTTATTTGTTCTCAGTACAGAGAGATGATGTTGTTATCAATTAAGCTTTTGTACTAATCATTTCGACATGGGTGGTTTGTTTTTTCTTAATTAAGTGCTGTGTCTACACAAGATTATTTTTCATCTTTTCCCATCACTGCTACCACCAGTGTAGCTCTGTTTGTGACAAACAGTGTGGATCAGCTATGAGTGCTCTATTGATCGTGTTGAATAAACTTACAAAGTAGTGTTTAAAATGATACTCCCTCCTACAACTAGAATAGTGGTGCTGGTGGTCATGGAGCTTCACCAGCCCTAGTAATGGCAAGACATTTTCACTAGTACAGAAAAGCCTGAGGTAAGTCCCACGTAAGATTCCCAGTCTATGTCCCTATCCCCATTTCCTATATGAGGAAATTTCTGGCTTGAATGAAAAGAACTAGTATCCTTTGCTTCTTATTATTAAGTTGAAATATGTATATCTTTAAATCTGCTGTTTGGTCCAACATGGATTCGACAGGTTTCATTCACCTGCTCCCATACCAGTGTCATATATACCATCATCTACTGTCTACATTGGGCAGTCTAGGGCAGGGAAAGAATGAGTGGACTCTCAGAAGGTGCCCCTTTTCCTTTCTTTCCCCCTCCCTATCCTTTGTATTTAAATGACTGCCTCCTGTATAGGACCCCTGCTCTTTGCAGGTCCATTCATATTATATGAAGAAGTAGCTTGTTGTCAGTGCCTCTCTGGATTAGCCTATATCCTATAAGGTGCCACTGTGCCCTGCCTTCTAGTCAGCTTTAGTTTATGATTACTTATGAACAGGGATGGTACTGTATTATTTGGGTTGCAAACACTGTAATGAAAGGCTTAACTTAAGTGTGGTTCTAGAGTTAAAATCAAACCTCAGAGATTGTTATTTATTTCATGAATATAAACATGTACATGGTCACAGATCTCAAAAACACTTGTGTTCTCAAAACTTGTCTTCATAACCCATTTAGACACTTCTGTAAATGCCATACTCAGAGTCATTTACTCAGTTTTATTAATGGCGCCATGTGTCAACTGAAGGCAGACATTTCACCCCTTGACTTCTGAATAAGGAATGATAGGTAAAGAAGAGATTAGTCATGAAGGGGCTTGAAAGTGGAAACCTGTGTGTGTTGTTGTGACTGAGAGGGTGTAGGGGAGGAGTGTAAAGGAAAGGATGATGTGGTCAGAGTGACAGGCAAAGCAAACTGTTGTTGCAGCATCATTCTGTAATGGGGAAGATTGGAGCAGGATTGCCTTTGCCAAGGACTGAGAAATGGATAGCGTAGTAACAGAGACACAACATAACCAAGGCCTGAGCAAAAGTTTAACTAGGAGAATGGAGAAGTAAAGCCTTATCTTGGAGAGGTTCTGCTGAAAGTAAGTGTAGGACTTGGACATAGGCTGGATGTGAGGTCCTAGAATGAGTTTAGGATGGTGATATTGTCCCTAGTGGTGCAGACAGGACGTGGAAAGGAGGACTCAAAAGACTTAGCACTCTGGTGTAGCCACATTGAGCTTGAGGCGCCACCTACTCATCCACAAGGAGATGTTTGAAGACAGGCTAAGATTTTAGTTTATGCAGAAGAAGAGATACCTTGTGTGCCCAGGGAGATCATTGGCCTTCAGACCAGTGTGCTGGAGTATATATGAAAGGTAACTTAGATGAGTTGATATTTCATTGGAAATACTGTATCCATTACACCCACCCAGAGTATAGTGGATTGTGACTAGCTCTTGTGTATCTTTCTTTAGCGAGTATATGCTAGTAGAACCAGCTTTTAAATTTCATGATGGTGTTTTTAAGTAAAACTATTTTGTGTGCAGTGAGTGGGAAACTACACAACAGCAGGAAATACTGATGGCAGCATTGTCAAACACACCCATTGTTTATGACTGTGCACAGAAGCAATGTGGTCCAGTCAACTATTATTGCATGCACAACTTTTTTATTTCAAAATTGCTGTTACTTTCTAAAACATCCTCAAAATTAACATGGGCTGTCAGTTTCCTGTACAGCAGCAGCATTTTTGTAGCTGTGATGGGCCAGGGAAAAAACAAGAAACAAGATTTGTTTGATAATCATGGGCGAGCTCTCCCACTCAAGGATGATTGTCTTCCATTACTGTCTTATCTGTGGGTCCAAAGATGGCTGATGAAGCCTATCCAGGATCAACAGACCCTGTTGCAGCTCAGGTATATGTTTCCATGCAGGGTGAGGAGATAATAGTCCAAGATAATATGCTGGACTAACTTTATAGTTAGGAGAGTTGTTAGTCAATTTTTGGACACAAAATGCCCTTTTTTCATGTCTGGGCAAGAAGCAGAGATTATCTGAGGAAAGGCCTTTTTATGCATGAAAGCTTAGTTAACAGCTCTCCCAGTTTATAAAGTTAGTCCAATTAAAAATAATACCCAACTAATCTTGCTGCTTATAGTTCCCACTGAAATGGCTCTTCAGCTGTATGAATGTATGTATGACAGCAAAAATAAAATGCCATGCAATATAACAAATATTGCAGCCACTTGACATTAAGCCCATCACTCAGCTTTGATTTTTAATGACACACCAGCAGTCGCCAAACAGAAGCTTACTAGACAGTTTGATTGAAACTGAAATAGTATTTTTAAGTTGTATTCTAAATACCACTTGCCATCCCCCCCACTGTCCTTGAAGTTGATGGGTCTGCCTTACAGCTGTATCTCCCATGGTTATGTATTGTAGGTTAGTTTCAGAGTAATATGTTCACCCTCTGCCTAAGAATGCCTTCTGCCTTTCATCAATTAGTTGTTGCAGCTTTTAAATGTTTTTAAATAAAGGATTTTGATGCAGTCACAGGAATAAAAGATAAATCAAAGAAACTTGTCAGCAGCAGTTAAGGAAACAATTGCCCTCTGCAGGTGAGGGCAGTGGAGCTACTACCACATAGTGTGTGTATGGCACCACAGTTGGAAGCTGGAAGGGTGGGAAAAACGATATGAAGGAGAAAGAGGGAAGGGTGGAAAAGTTGTCTCCAGCTGACAATGTCATACATTTAACAATGAAGCTAGCAACTTGCAGTATCATCCTTAAATGGTTTTCAAACGTGGTCCTATTCCTCAGTATTGCTTTGTAAGTGAAAGGCAGTAGATTTGTGAGATAAGGCCGCTGACAGTGTTTGAATGGCCATACCTTCCAGTACAGAGCCACATTTGCACGTGAGTCAGGTTTTGTATTTAAAGCAATTCCATACAACATACATGTTCGCATGCCTTGAGAAAACCCTTCCTTCTTGCAAGGCAGTCAGTCACCACATTTAAAAAGTGTGGTGCTGTAAAAGCTGTCGGAGAAATTACGCCCCTTTTTTGGCTGCAGGGTAAGCCCAGTATGTTAG